CAACCCTACTCTAAACCAACACCCTTGGATGCCAAGATACCTCTTCTAAGTTGTGCAACAATATCCAGTCATGTGACCTTTTTGTTATAATTTCTTTATATTATATTCATGAGACTGCAAAGTTTTTGATAGTTCAAAGTGATTAACTATTAAATTAAGTTATATGTAAGTCCAGAAATGGATGTGCAAAATAACACTGAAAATGTAGGCTTATCATAACATAAGGGGGATTCTAGAAAACTTGCATGTAGATAGTTCAATGTGACTGAACTATTAAATTAAGGTACATACAAGTCCAGAAATGGATGTACAAAATAAAACTGAAGATGTAGGCTTATCATTACATAAGGGGATTCTAGTCAGTCACTTTGAACTATCTACATGCAAGTTTTCTATTAAATTAAGGTACATACAAGTCCAGAAATGGATGTACAAAATAATACTGAATACAAGCTCTTCCCTCATCCTGTACATTAAATCATGTCCAGTATCTAATAACAAGACTACAAGCTCTTCCCTCATACTGTACATTAAATCATGTCCCAGTATCTAATAACAAGACTACAAGCTCTTCATACATCCTGTACACTAAATCATGTCCCAGTATCTAATAACAAGACTACAAGCTCTTCCCCCAATCCTGTGCACTAAATCATGTTCCAGTATTTAATAAAAAGACTACAAGTTCTTCCCTCATACTGTACACTAAATCATGTCCAAATATCTAATAACAAGACTACTAGTTCTTCCCACATACTGTACACTAAATCTTGTCCAAGTTTCTAACAACAAGACTACGAGTTCTTCCCTCATACTGTACACTAAATCTTGTCCAAGTTTCTAACAACAAGACTACGAGTTCTTCCCTCACACTGTACACTAAATCTTGTCCAAGTTTCTAACAACAAGACTACAAGTTCTTCCCTCACACTGTACACTAAATCTTGTCCAAGTTTCTAACAAGACTACAAATTCTTCCCTCATACTGTACACTAAATCTTGTCCAAGTTTCTAACAACAAGACTACAAGTTCTTCCCTCAAACTGTACACTAAATCTTGTCCAAGTTTCTAACAACAAGACTACAAGTTCTTCCCTCATACTGTACACTAAATCTTGTCCAAGTTTCTAACAACAAGACTACAAGTTCTTCCCTCACACTGTACACTAAATCTTGTCCAAGTTTCTAACAACAAGACTACAAGTTTTTCCCTCACACTGTACACTAAATCTTGTCCAAGTTTCTAACAACAAGACTACAAGCTCTTCCCTCATACCATGCATTGAAATACATACAAGCTTTACCCATCAAGGGAATGGTGGATTTTGAATGCCTCTAACATTAACCCTATGAGCATGGAGTTGGTCCATTGGAGAATGAACATTTATTATCATTCAGAATTCACTATGTATAACTTTTTGAAATTTGACAAGCTTTTAGTAAATGTAAAAATTCTTTTATACACACAAATCAGATTTGTCAATGTTTTTACTAAACATTTGCCTGTGAATTTAGGGAGTCAGTCTGACTCAGACCAATCTGAATGAATACCTTTTTTCATCTTTTCATTTTCATAACCTCTAGAACCTCTTAAAGGAATATCAAAAGTTTCTTAAGTAAAACTATCTTATTTTCTGTACCCTAACACTAACTGTAGTGAAAACAGCTGCAGTGAAAGTTAAAGATTGTAACATATAATTACATTTATTTGTCCATTTAAAATAATTCCTCTGGCTATTTAAGTTGACTCGGGAATAGTGAAAACTGAAACTGTAGGCTAACTAATTGAACATGTGAAATGTTTTTTAATATATTAATCATGTATTCATGAAACATCAGTTCCCTTACACTACCATAACTTGATAAGTTGATTCAACAACAAATTCATACCTGTTAGACATTACACTCACATCAGTTGACTGTTGTTCTTTATCCTCTTGTTCCCTCAAAGCCTTCAAGTATTCAGTTTGGTTTTCAATGACATCTCTCAGTTTCTAAAAAAAACACGTTTTTCAAATTATGCATTCAAAATATACAGCTGATGCAACAATATTTTTAAACATTATGTTTACAAATTGAAAAAGTTACATTTTTTTTCTTAAAAACTTAAATGGGTTTATGTGCCACAAAAGAAGAAAAAGAAAGTTCTAGATACTTTAAAAGAATTATAACCATAATGCCTCACAATATAAGCTTATTACACATTAAGTATTGATTTCTGTAATGATTCTAATGTTAAATATTGCCATGAACAATGAAGGTCAGTTCAACTAAAAACACCTAAACGGAGTCACATCAAATCTTACCAGGCCTGTTAACTTTGTAAAATGCTGTAATGACTATAAAGGAAGCAAGAGAACATTTCAATAAATAATGCACATCAAATTGTCATATCATATCTTACTTGGCCTGTTAATTTCAAAACTCACTGTAATACTACTAAAATAAAGACATTAATAAAACAGCTTAATTAAATCCCAATAAACAATAAAATGTTTACTGTGTAGAGAGGGTTGTTTTACTGAAAGTTGGACTCTCTGGATCACTTTTTTTTCAGTTTTATTCAATCTCAC